ATGATTTACAGGAAAGCAGGCCGGCGCCTCTTTCTCTGGGAGCTGCACAGAGGAGTTACGAGGCCCACACACAGTGCAGGAGCTACAACCCCTTTCTTCTCCCAGTGGAGCCAAGCTATGCTGTGCACAACGCAGGTCTGGTCCCTAAGGACCGGCTGGCCAAGGGCAGGCAGGCAGCACGTAGTCCTTCTGGCTTCCAGCCACCAGACTCACAGGCTTCCGGGAAAGGCTGACAGGGCCGCTCTGTTCCTTTGAATCTGAAAATATGTGGCTAGGGAAGCCTAAATTAATTAAGTGATGCTGAAGCCCTGAGGCCCTCCCGAGGAAGCTCACAGGGAGGGGACGGCGAGGCCAGGGTCAACGGCACCCCCACTCCCAGTACTGGAATCCAGAGAGCTCACGAGCGTCACTGGAACTAAGCCGGCACTTAAGTGCTTTCTGGGAGACAAAGAAATAATAAATCAGGAGCAGGTGCCCCGCCCACACACTGCCACCACCACCATCAACCTGCTTCTCCACAGAAACATAGCCGTTTCACATCTCTGGGAACAGCTGTCTCCATGAAGCAACAAATGGCAAGGCCCTGCAAGTGACTTGGTCCATGACCTTCTCAGAAAAGAGTCCAGGATGGATTGATGCCTGCCTTCAAAGCAACACCCTCCACACATAATTCCTCAGGACTCCCCTGCCCCAAACACACACACACACACACACACACACACACAGATACACACACACACACCAGACATCGCCTGGGCACAGGTACATGATGGCTTTCCTTTCACTCTCTCCCCAAGCTGCCATATTCCAGGACCCCCCAAGTCCCCAAAAAACTCCACTATGGCTTTAGTTCAGAGTGGAAAGGACTCTTTTTTCTAGCAGAATGAGGTCACAACTATAAACAATGGATAAAATGAGAAGAAAGATTGTCAGCCAGAAGTTACCAATCCATACAAAGCAACAATAATTAAGCTCCCACTAAGTGTCATGCATTGAGCTAAATACGTCCAATTAGGCCTTCTCATAATCTTCATTCATCCTGGAGCAGGACAACATGGTTGTTGAGAGCTGGATGCTGGCACTAGCTTGCATTTGAATTCTATCTTCACAATTTCTGAGCTTTCTGATTGTGAATGAATTTCTGTACCTTGGTGTCCCTACCTGTAAAAAGTTATTATGAAGGCTGATAGAAAAAGATTAAGTGAATTAATGTTTGTAAAGTGCTTAAAACAGTGCCTAGCACTATATAAACACACTTATGTATCTCATAAGTAAGTTCCTTCCTTTACTCATTCCACTTATATATCAAGTACCAGATATGTACTCTGTAGCAACAGTTGCTATATCTGGTTGAGAAAAAAAGACGAAAAAAAAAAAGTGCTTCCATTTTCTCCTACAGAACTGGATGGAAAGTTCCCTTTTGCCTGCAAATTATGCTTAGATAGAGGAGTTTCTGGGAAGAAATTTACCAAGAGTTCTAGTGAAGAAGCGGCCACACGTGCAGGAAGATGGAGGGCTGGGGCCATTGTGGGAGGCTGGTTGGCGAATTGGAAAGCCAGCGCCAGCACCCTGGACAGCTCCCTGCAGGCCGGGGCCAGGATGGCGATTGTCCCCTTCCTGTCAAACCTCAGCCTTTTGCTGAGGCAAGGTGTCCTGGCCTCCCTGCTAACTCCTTCATCCTAGTCCTTAGGCCTGCTGATACATGAGTGGGGAGTCCTTCTAAGCTGGGGGTTCGGTGAGGGAGTTTAGTGTCCCTGGAGTTTCCTTAAGGATCTTCCCTCTTCCTTCCATGGATCTTCATCTCCCCCTCTCCTTGGCGTTGCCAGGGAGAGTGTGTTCACCTTGCACAAAGAGCAGCAGAGGCACTTTGGAAGCAGCATGAGGATCAGAAGACTGGTTCCATGACCTAAGTTTAAATCCAGGCTCTTCTGCTGGAATCTCAAGCAAGTGATACAGCTTCTCCAAGCCCAACATCAGTAAGACAGGGGGAATAGCACCTACACTGAACCAGGGTTGAGTAAGAATTAAATAAAATAATATATACAACACCTCTGCCACAGAAATGTGCTTAATAAATGAGCCTGTTTCCTGCCTTAGAGGAAAGGAGGACTGGAGAATTACACATGAGCCCAGAGATAGCTTGCCTTCATGCTCAGGAATAGTCATGAATTCTATGGGCCAGAAGAGATCTGCATCTTCAAAACCCTGGGAAAGTCCCCCTTCTCTAAGATTTCACTGTTCTTTAGCCATGAAACAGAAAACTTCTGCCTTAAATTTCAAGCTCCCCTTTTCAAATCACATAAAGCAAACAATATAAATAATAATTGCTCAGTAGATTGGAAGACTGTCCCTTTAAAAGCCTCATAATGGGAGAGTCAGAAGGAACTAGAGATCTCAAACTCAAATGATCAGAGAGCACGAGGCAGGTAACATATATTTGTGAAACTAGCTGGAGAGGAGAGAGACTGCAATGAGCTGGAGAGGGTGTGTATTGACTAATGGCCTTCAAATAAAATTTAAAATAATTATATCATCTAACAGAGCCCTTCTATAGCACCCATTTGACCCTGAAAGCTGTGGCAGGTTAGAAGTCTCCAAGTATCCAACTTAACAGAGACCAAGGCTGGGGCCCAGAGAGAGGCTATGACTTGCCAAGATCATCCAGAGGCAGGCCTGTATCCATACTGGAACTTTTTCCCTCCCTCAGACCAAGGACAGTTTGGACACCTCAGAGCCAGTGTCAGCAGCTCCTTAAGTGGAAGAATTTCTTCTCCTTCCCTGGGGTGAACGAAGAGATTGGGTGGCAGGTGGCAAGGCTGCCACCTCTCACCCTGGTGTGCTGGTCTCCATCACCTCTCTCCATAGCTGTCTCAGGAAGAGAAGTTAGCTTTCTAGTGCCTTCTGGGCCTCCCACCAGCCAGGACAACTTAACCAGAGGGACTAGCTAGGAAGCCAGGGATACCCCCTGAAAGTTTTATGTGCTCTTCACAAGACCCACATCTGTAAAATGAAGATAAAACACCACATTTTACAGATGATAATAATAACCACAGCAAGCACTTAACATTACTATGTCCCAAGCATCCTAAGCAGTAGGAAGTATCATCCATTTTACAGATAAATAAACTGAGGGACGAAGAGGGGAAGTGGTTTCCCCCTTTCCCTCCAGACACCCTAACTAGTATGTGCGGAGCCAAGAGCCATCTCAGGCCTCTGCCTCAAGTTCTTTCCACTGCATCCTGATGCCTCCTTGGGGTGGGGAGCACCATTAGGGAAAAAGCTGAACCTAATTGTAGTTTCTGAGGCCTGAAGGATGGGAAGAATTCTCTCTGACTCTAGAAGAAAGAGACAAACTGTAATCTCAACAGCTCAAATCTCCCTGCCTCCACTGCCTCAGAGCCTCTCTCCCGGGCAGTCCGCAGACCAGAACATGGATTCGATGTGCCATCCAGGGTCAACGCTGGGAACGCACTAGGCCCAGCGCACTGCCAGGGTTGCTCACCTTGTGTGCTGAACTGGGTGTCTCAGTGGGTGTGGCCTTCTTAAGATGAGCTCCCCGCTTGAGCCTCTGCTGAGAGCAAAACTGATGGTTCCTGCCTGGAAAGTGGTTGCGGCGCCCACGCGGGGTCTCTTACAGTTCCAAGGGTAGACCATGGCTACATCACTTCCTGAGCCCACCCGGGACTTGGAGGTAGCTCTAGAGATTGGAGGTGGGGGTGGGGCTGGAAAGGGGGCGGGACCTCGCTGGAGCGGAGGGAGGCCTTGGTGTAGTGCGAGGACATCCTGGGAGGAGTTAGAATGAGGAGGGCGTGCGGAGGAGGGAAGGGAGAAGAGGCGGAGCTGGGGGACCCAGACAGTTAAACGGAAAGGGGGAGCACTGGTGAGGAGAGGGTGGTGAGGAAAGCGGGAGGGTGGGCGGGGCAGAGCCGATATTGAGGACCTTGGGTGGGGACGAGGCGACTTCTCCCCTCCGTTCCCAAATGTTCACGGTCAGGAATTCTCTGCTGTGGCATCCTCCCGAAGGGCCGGTCGCTCTGAACCCGGTCCAGCAATCTCTGAGCCTCCCTTCCCCGGCTTGGAAGGGGCCGGGGGGCGGAGCCAGAGAAATGGTTGGGGGAATCTGTCGTCGGCGCCCCTCCAGTTCCCGCCCCACAGTCCAGCTGAGAGAACAGATGGATGCAGCCGCGGCTCACCTCGGGGACTCCTTACCCGCTGTGCGCCGAGATGCAGACTGAGGCAGAGATCTGGAGCCCCTAGCTCCCCTCTCTCCCCCCGGGCCGGGGGGAAGCGGTAGCTGTGTGCCCCTTTCGGCGAGGAGAAGACCGGACGCGGACCCCACGAGTCCTAGAACTGCGGGGGCCGAGAGCCCGCTTGTCGCGCGGCGCACCCATCCTCAGGGGCTTGGCCAGGACTCTTTCCACACCGAGACCCCTTCCTGGGGCTTCCAGCCTTGGCGCATCTGGGGAGGGAACCCCCTCCGGGCAGCGCCCCGCCCCCCGCCCCCGCCCCGCCGACGCCGCATTAGCATGAGCGACGCAAGTGGCCCGGGCACCACTCGGGGGCCGAGACTCGCCGCGTCACAGCCCCGAGTGTAAGGGAAAAAAAGAGTAGGCAGCGGAGGAGGAGGCAAGAGCCGACGCGAGGGGAGGGGAGAGCGGCGGGGCGAGCAAACCGGCGGGCTGGCGGCAGCAGTATGCCCCTCGGCCGGCACTGGCGGTCTCTCAGCGCTGCGGGGGCGGCTCCCGGCGCGCGCGAAGCACAGCGCGCTCAGTCTCCGGCCCCGGCCCCTGGGCCAGCCCTCCTTTCCTGACTAGCCCTGAGCCCAGCGGAGGCGGGTTCGGGGCTCGGTTCCGGACATCGGCGGCGCCTCGCCGTGCAGGATCCTTGCCTTTTCTGGCGCGCAGGGTCCCCCGAAGTTCCGCGCCTTCGTCTCTGCACTGCAGGGCGCCCGCGCCCGGCCCCGGCGGCAACGTCCTCGGAAGAGCGGCGGGGTGGGGGTGATGGAACCGGAGGCCCCGGCGGGTCAGGCCCCGGCGGCAGCCAGCAAGCTGTCGGAGGCGGTGGGCGCGGCGCTGCAAGATCCCCGGCGGCAGCGGCGTTTGGTGCTGGTCATCGTGTGCGTGGCGCTGTTCCTGGACAACATGTTGTATATGGTCATCGTGCCCATCGTGCCCTACTACGTGCACGCGGCCAGCGAGAAGCCCACCCCGACCTCCAGCCCAACGCCGCCCACTCCGACCAATGCCAGTGCCGTCACGGTCAACACCTCAGAGTCCCCGACGGCTGCTATGCCAGCCAAGTCTATTGTGAAGCTCCAACACCCCAGGGACAACGAGGACGTGAAGATCGGGGTGCTGTTTGCCTCCAAGGCCATCCTGCAGCTGCTGGTTAACCCCCTGAGTGGGACCTTCATCGACCGCATGAGCTATGACTTGCCACTGCTTCTGGGCCTGGGCGTACTGTTCGCCTCTACGGTGATGTTTGCCTTCGCGGAGGACTATGCGACGCTCTTCGCCGCACGCAGCCTGCAGGGTCTTGGCTCGGCTTTCGCGGATACGTCTGGCATTGCCATGATTGCAGACAAGTATCCGGAGGAGCCAGAGCGCAGCCGCGCCCTGGGCTTGGCGCTGGCCTTCATCAGCTTCGGAAGCCTAGTGGCGCCGCCCTTCGGAGGGTTCCTCCACGAGTTCGCTGGAAAGTCTGCGCCCTTTCTGGTGCTCGCCGCCGTTTCGCTGTTCGACGCCCTATTGCTGCTGGTGGTAGCCAAGCCCTTCTCGGCGGCGGCTCGGGCGCGGGCCAACCTGCCAGTGGGCACGCCCATCCACCGCCTCATGCTGGACCCCTACATCGCAGTGGTGGCAGGCGCGCTCACCACCTGCAACATCCCCCTCGCCTTTTTGGAGCCCACCATCGCCACGTGGATGGAACGTACGATGGCAGCATCCGAGTGGGAGGCAGGTATAGCCTGGCTGCCGGCCTTCGTGCCGCACGTGCTAGGCGTCTACCTCACCGTGCGACTGGCGGCGCGCTACCCCCACCTGCAGTGGCTGTACGGCGCCTTTGGGCTGGCGGTGATCGGCGCCAGCTCGTGCCTGGTGCCCGCCTGCCGCTCCTTCGCACCGCTAGTGATCTCGCTCTGCGGCCTGTGCTTCGGCATCGCGCTGGTGGACACCGCGCTGCTGCCCACGCTCGCCTTTCTTGTGGACGTGCGCCACGTCTCGGTCTATGGCAGCGTCTACGCCATTGCCGACATCTCCTATTGCGTGGCCTATGCGCTTGGGCCCATCGTGGCGGGCCACATCGTGCACTCGCTTGGTTTTACACAGCTTAGCCTTGGCATGGGCCTGGCCAACCTGCTCTATGCGCCCGTCCTGCTGCTGCTGCGCAACGTGGGCCTCCTGAAGCGCTCCCGCTCGGAGCGGGACGTGCTGCTGGATGAGCCACCGCAGGGTCTGTATGACGCTGTGCGCCTGCGGGAGCGCCCCATGTCCGAACGGGACGGCGCACCTCGCAGCCCGCCCGGCCCCTTTGACGCCTGCGAGGAGGACGACTACGACTACTACACCCGCAGCTAGCGGCCCTGCTCCTCCTCTAGGCCACCCACCTACTCTCCAACCCACCCCCACCCGCGGGTCAAGGGGGCTTCTCTGGGGCAGCTCAGGCTCAGGGTTTGCCACCTCCAGCGAGTACCCAGCCCCTCCGCAGTCTTTATTTCCCCCGGCCTGAGTCCCCTCTCTAGAATCCATTCTGTGTCCTCCTTCCTTTTCTCCAACCGGGCGTGGAGCACCTAGGCACTCGTGCTTCGGGAAAAGATGAAGAGGCGCGCGGACCGCCACCTCGGGGCTCCCCGATGTAGAGCTGCGCCTCTGCCTGTCCTTCCTTGCGTTCCTCCCAGTGCCAACTGGGCCCGCTGCACCGCGGTGCCTCCGGGCCGATTCAATAAACTATATCTGTGCGAGGCCGAGTCTCTTTACTGATAGGGGTGGGCGGCCGGGCAAGGGACCAGGGAAGAACGGGAGGGTGAGCTGTCTCTCTAGCCCCAATCCCGGTCTCAGTCCAGCGGGCACGCAGGAAGCCCGTGGCTCTTTTGCAACCCGGAAAAGGAGATACGGAAGAAGCAAGCCCAACAAGGGCTCTCACGCACGAACACTCCGGTGCGCCCGCCGCCCGCAGCCCGCAGCAGCCCCTCCCCCACCCAAGCCCAGCGCCGCGCTCCAGGGCGCCGCCCCCGGAGCCAGAGGAGCTGCTCCCTCCGGGCGCGCCGGTCCCGCCCATTAAGGACACACCCTGAATCAGCCTCGGATCTCTGCTCTAAGGCGCCCGAGCTGGTCTTCCCTTCGAGCCTGGCAGCCTGTCCCGTCCAGGCTCCAAGAGGGAATGGGTCCGAACTGATACAGGCAGCGGAAGAAAAACCGGCCATGTCTTTAAGGGCTCGGTATCTGGAAACTGCGTGTGTGTGTGTGTGTGTGTGTGTGTGTGTGTGTGTGTGACCTAGAGAGCTAGACTCCATCCTACGAGGAATGCGGGGAACAGTTGTCGATGTGTCAACTGGTCCTGGCTGTGCAGACTTGAGTCAGGGCTGGAGAGGATGCGAGTGTGTGAGCTGATACCAACCTCCACCCTCCCTGGCCCTGAGTAGAAGAAGCAAGCCCCCTGGGCTGTCAAAGAAGTCTCTCCACCTTGAGTGTGGGTCCCCAGAGTCCCAGACTAGCATTTGTGCGGTACTCCCAGCCCCGCCGCCTGCTGAAGGCCACAGAGTCCCGGGATTCCGCCATGGAGAGGCTGCCGCGCTGGGGGTATGCCTGTGTGTTAGACAACGTCTGTTGGGGGTCTGCACTGCTGGTGTGTGCACGTCTGTTCTGAGTCTGCGTGTCCAGCTCTCTGTGTGTTTGAGGAGGGTCTGTCTTTGTGGGTCTGTCTGTGCGTGCCTGCGGTGTAAAGATCTATAGGGGAGGGGGCATGCTTTGTCTAGGAGAAATGTCTGCCTCTGACTACGTGCCTCTAAGCATCCCCAGGTATGTATCCCGCATCTTCCTTATAGTACCAGGGATAAGTGGGACTAGAAAAGGAGGACCTGCAGTGATGGACAAACAGATTTATTGCTAGTACTACAAATGTTATTATCATTATTATATTCTAAAAGGAGTTTTAATAAGGTTTGAACCTACCCTAGACGGTGGGGAGGGCACAGATTTACCCAGACTCAACCCTCCCCAGAGAATTCTGCAGAGTCAGCCAGTCAGTGCTAGGATAAAGGGGATGGGGGATCGCGGGGACTGGGGAAGGCTGAGCTGAGGGCGATGGGCACCGGCGGAGACGTGTTTTGACCCCTCTTCTGGGGCCTGGATTCTGGTGCTTTTCTGAAAGCTCTATCCGGGAAGCCGTCAGAGCACGGGATTGGGGTCGGGGAGATGGGATCCGGGAAGGCGAGAGAAGGGGGGAGGACGGAAGATGGAGAGGGAGGGATGGAAAGGGAGAAAGGGGAGGGAAGAGGAATAGGATGAAAGAGGGGAGGGGACTGGCGCGGCCGGCTAGCTCGCAGCCAGTCGCGAGGCCTGGGGACCCGGCGACGTCGGAGGCTCTACCACGGACCCAGGCTGCAGCCCCCACCCCCGCACGGCTGACGCGCCCCGGAATCCCTTCCGGCTCACATTCTAGCCCCTAGTCCTGCTGGGTGCGGTGAGGCGGCTGCAGAGAGGAGGAGAGCAGGTGAGTAGGGCTGGGCTCCGGGAGCACAGAGCGGGGAGCGGGAGCGCGGAGCGGCAGCGGGGAGCTGAGCTTAGGATCGGAGGGAGGCTCGGTCCAGGGCCTGTGCCCGGGGGAGAGACTCCCAGAACCTGCGGAGTTCCCCCAGTCCCCCTCGGCAGCCGCCGTCGGGGAAAGCCAGGAGGGTGCGGGATTCTCTGGCTCTGGTGTTTCCCCACTCAGGGTGGGGACAGGAGGACTGGGGGCTAGATAATGATGTCGAATTTAAAATGTGCAAGTGAGAGTTGCAAGTTAAGTTTTATTTGAGGTAAAATGAAGGCTGCAGTCCGTAAAATAGCACCTCAGAAAGCTCTGAGACACTGTTCCAAAGAGGCGGTGGGGAAGGTCAGTATATACGTGGTTTTGGTGAAGGGAGAACACATGCAATCAAGCACATATTTTTCCAGAGGGTTTCTGCTAGTCTGGTGAAGCTTCCTGCCAGTCACCAGGATCAGTCTTCACCATGAAGGATTGTAGCAGACCCATAAAATCAGCTCTTGAAAATATTCTATCTGAAGTCCTGTGGTGCCAGTCCCCCCGCCCCCATTTCTGTTCTTCACCCCAAACTCCTTTCAGGGGGTGTTGAAGGTCAGCAACTGCAGCAGCACTTGATTTACTCCTTGTGGAGGTAGATGGCAAGTGCCTATGTCAAGTGCAGTTTGAAGTTAACAGGGCCCCCTCATGGTTATAAGTTCAGCAATATAAGTTCTCCCAAAGGGGAGACTTTTCAAGACCATTTTGTCCCACAGTGCTAGGAAGGCTCATTTCTAAGTCTGGCGAAGATTTCTCTTACAAGCCACTTGATGTGCAGCTACTGGACTAGGTTTATCAACAGTAATCAAAGGGCTCTGGACCAACCTGTCTTACTCAATCTGTTATGGTCAAGGAAAAATTCCCTCTTGTTATATCTTCCCATATCTAGAGTGATGTTATTACAACCATTGATTGCATATAGAACTATATATTTGATCAACTGCTTCAGATCACCTAGTCATCATTATTTTTATTGGAGGTTCAGTCACACATTTGGTAATGCAAGAAACAATAATCTTGTAATACAGGCAAAGTACAAATAACATAGCTAGCAGTATTATTAAAGTCATTAGTGAGAATTAAACCAAGAACTTCCATTAGGCGCAGTCCAGTATATCCTCAGGTCATTTAACTTAGTCTATTCTATTCCAATCTTTATCTTTCAGGGACGTTATATATTGGCACTATCCATAAGGCTCTTACCTGATTTTCTAGTTACTAGGCTGGTTATCCTTAGTATAATTTAATTGTTCCCAAGGTAAAGGGGAACCTTAAATCTTAAATGACCACAGCCTGGTGTTAACCACATAAATCCATCCCATAATTGTGGGAGATTTTATTCCTTGGCTGAATTTGTGCTTGTTTCTCTGATTGATCTTGAGTAACTTAGAGGAAAATTCATATTTATGGCCAGTACCAGAGCAAGTATTATTAATTGATTAGGTGAGAAGATACCACCTAGTAATATCAAGAGTAGCCTGAATGGGACTGAACTTTCTTTCTCTAAAATAAATTTTTTAAGGCTCATCCAATTAGAGCTTTGGAGTGAAGAAATCCACCTAGGTAATCTAAAAGTACTAGACGCAGATAATTGGCCCCAACTCAACAATTGGACTGATTTTTTTAAAAACTAGCATAGGGGAAAAAAATAAATAAAAACTAGCATAGGACTGTGTCCAAGATAGAAAACATTTGGTCCATACGCAAAGGTCCAAGAAGTCAAGAAAACATTAAAAATGATCATACAAATCAGGTCCTGCATCTTGGATAAGCTGCCCACTTTTGATACTGTCTTCTTCTCATCCTGGTGTAACTATTTGAACATTTGAACATCATTTTAAGGTGAGTTTGAGGTCAGCAGTCCTCTCAATAGACCAGTCTGGTATAGGGGTCTTTGGAAGTGGGAAGTAATCCAAGGGTCAATTTACCTTCAGATTCACCGTACATGGGCTACTTAAAGAGTGCCTGATAAAAAGTCCTTTCATCCAGGCTACAGAAGGTACTTTAAAGTATGTCTTGTCCTGTATATATATAATATGTATTATATATATATATTTTATATATATATTTTATATATATATATATTATATATATATATATATAAAATGCCCCGTTTATATAATCCCCAAGATCATATCATGGAGCATCTGATCTTCATCCAAAGATTACTGAGATAAGCTTCAGAAACAAAACTTAGAGTCTTCTTTTAATAATTCAGTTAAACCTTCATTGAAGTGACTTAGCAGCAGCAGTATGGCATAAAGGCAAGGGACTATGTGGGACGTGAGTCAGTAAATACAGACCTCCATTAACAAAACTGGGATTTAATAGTCATTGAAATACAATCTTTTTATCTCTAAAATTACCCTCATTTCTACTACACATATTCAAATTAAGACTAATTTGTTGCAAAGTAAGTCTGATCTCAAAAAAACGTGGCCTGATATTTATATAACTATAATTGATCAAAAGTTTTTGCATTGCTGAAACTTTTATAAGGAGTCTCAGATTGAACTTTAAAAAAAAAAAAACCTTTCAAGGCTAGGAAAATCATGGCAAAGACTTATCACATGTTTCACATTACAGATCTCGGTAAACGTCTCCCTTAGCAACGTCCCCCAAATACCTTGAGATTTCTGTACCTGTTGGTGAGGTAGCTTTCCTAATTTATCTGATAAAGTTACTGGAAACCTAAGAGTTTACAATCTCTGGAGGGAGCAGATAGAGAAAAAAGATAAATGTTTCAATTCTGCTTACAAAAGTATAATTTACCAAATTACTCTAAGTCCTAATTAGTTTGAGGGGAAGATTTTCCTTACACCTGGAAAATGCAGATTCAAATTTGTAATTTTTCAGGCAGAAACCATGAAAAGCATAGCCATATTCAACAGTTCACTTATTCTTATGTATAACTAATTTTTGTTAACAGTTTGTGAAGCTATTAGGTTTCTCTTTAGGATTTTTCAGTTTCTTACCTAGTTCAGCATTATAGCCTGAAAATAAGAAACTTGTATTTATTCCAAAGTTCTTTCTGTTAATCTTTTTGAAGAGGAAGTATTTTGCAAAGGCACCAGAATGAAATCATAACTGTCAATAATGACAGAAGACTTAAGAAGGCACGTTTAAAATCTGATTACAATGCAATTGACACAGACACTTGGTTACTGCTCTGACATACAACACTTTAAGATAATAACTAGAATTATGACTGATAACATTTTACCAGAACATATCAGATTTTAGGAAAGCTATATAATTTTTAGAATATTTTTATTAGTAACATTCACCATACAATATAACCTAAGAATGTTTATTAGTCATTTGACAATGCTTCCCATCTAATTTGACATACCAAGTGAATGTAGTTAGTTTAGTATCTCTCTTTGGGATGTTTCAGAGGCCCTTTGAAGCACCCCAAAGTTAGTGAGAGATCAAAAAGACTTCATTAGAATTTGATTTAGAAAGTTTGGTCAATAAATATCAAAAGAGTTTAGAACACTCAGTCAAATGGGATCAGAGGTCACTTGAGAAACAATAATTACTCACTTAGCCAAAGTAACAATAGAAGACTTCAAAGGCAAATACAACAGATCACTTAAGAGGTAAAGAAACTTAAAATCTGTTATTAAAGGCAGTCTTAACATCTTAAGAAAATTGTTCCATACACAAAATTCAGGGGAGAGTCAGCCCTGAATTTTCTCAGGGTCTACTTGCCACAGACCTTCATAATTTTATGTAGCCATCACTTAGTTTGCTCATCCCAAACCTGTAAGTCAGACCTAATTCCTTTTCCCTTAATGAAATGCAATTCCATTTCTCCTGCCTTCTTCACTGAAAAGTCACATTCTACTTTCCTTAAGCAACCATGAACTGTCCTTTATATTAACATTCTATAGGTTGGTGAACATAAATACCAGTTATAATTTCTGAAAATATTTACTTTCTTATAGAGACAATCTCAGGATGGCACCAAACATATTCATTATTAGTCCAAACATCTTTAGTTTCTCTGTAAGAGGAAGTCAGTCAGTATTCAGTAATTAATGTTTTAGTGTCTTATTTTATTTGGGCTAGGGCCCAGAGGTGAAGCATTGAACATGACAGGTGTAGTCTTACCCTGGAAAAGCTGGCAGTCTAGTGGGAAAGAAAGACTTTAACCTGCAAAGCACAGGCAGAAACAACACAAGGGCTCTGCCAATGACTCCTTGTGCATTTGGAGTCAGTAAGCCCAACCCCGCTCCCTTCCATGCTGCTCTGGGCTGGTAGGTTGAGGCTGGATGACAACAGTCTTGTGGAGCAGGTGCCAGCCGGAGACTCACTTCAGGTCCCACCCTCTCCTATTTGGAGCTGCAGAGAGGATGCTGTGGTCAGGGGGCCTGGTCTTACCAGGCCCAGGGAACACTCCTGGTCAGAACAGGGGCAGGGTGTCAGGCTGTGGGAGGTGAAGGGTCCTGTGGCAGGTCTAGGTGGCTGTTGTGTCGATGCCTCTCTGCTTCTTGGTCCCCAGGTCCACACCTCTGCTTCCACAATCAGAAGTCAGCAAGATGCCCATCTGTGAAAAAGCTCCCCCTAAGACGACGGCAAAAAGTCCGGGCAGTGAGGAGGAGCCTGTAAGTGACGTTTAGAGCCCCCTCTCTCATCCCTGCTCTCCCCATTCACAAGCCCTTGCTTCCAGACAGTGCTGAGTAGGACTGGCCTCCGAATCTTGCCTGGCACCCAGCCCTGTGCTCTCCCAGGCATGAATGCCAGCTGTAACCCTGCCTCTAGTTTGCTTGAGGAGCCTGGGAGGGCCTGGTGGAGCTGGGAGTGTCTTCAGGAGATACTGAGGGAATGCTGACAGCTATACTTTCTAACCCCCAAAGCCAGGGAGAGTCCTTGATCTGAGCCAGCTACTCTCTTTTCTCCCGGCGCCTCCCCTTCTCCAAGTTCCACTTCCAATGGCTTTGAGCCCAGTGGAATTGCCTGAGGATGAGGCTGCATTCCCTCCTCTAAGCCTTGTCACATCGCAGCCCCTGGAGCCTTAAGGCTTCAACTTCCCCACTAGTTTGAGACAATGCCATCCTTCCCTGGGCAGGCATCCTCCTTCCCTGTCATACTCACCTTCCAAAGTGAGTATGCTACTGCTGTCTTCTTGACACCTCTTTACCCCAACCTGCACCCCAGGGCTTCATTTGAAAACTTGATCAGAACTTTTTGGCTTCTCCCTGTGAAGTTGCTCACCATATTGTCTAAACAGTCTGACAGATACTTCTGTTGTTGTCTCTCCCTTTGGACTGCGGCTGCCTTGAGAGCAGGCTCTGTCTCTCCATTGTCCCTGAGTCCAGCCCAGGACCTGGCTCATATAAATTGCCCAGAAATGTTTCTTGACCTAAGATCCCAGGACCCAAAGCCCCTCTTTTGTACAAGACCCTGTCTCTCTACCCAGGCAAAGCCAGAAATCCATGAGAGTCTGGGAAGAACCCTGAGGGGCTGAGACATCTCAACAGAGAGTTCCTGCTTCGTTCTTTCTTTCGCATCACTGATTCCCCATGACCGACCCTGACTGAGTCACTGTCACAGCCCTGAAGAAGGGTGGCTCCAACCAGACCTGCTGTCACTTTTGAACAAGTCGCCAGCTGGACTGGGCTTTCTGTCTCACCCACCACATGGATCCCCAAGACCCCAGGAGAAAGAAGAGGGTGGGGAGACTGGACTGGCTCTCTGGGAGTGGGCTGGGCCACCTAGAATGCTGCCCAGACCCATCCTTGAGTGCTCCCCAGGGCAGCAGGAGCAGCCCATAGTTGGCAGTGACACCCTCCTCCCTCCCCCTAGGGCAGTGAGCTCTAGAGAAACAGGCTCAGACAGGCGGATCCCCTACTCTCATCCGCGCATGCGCTCCAGCTCACTCACACTCGGGACCGGGGGCTGGGGGGTTCACTTCAGTCCCTGCAGCAGCAGGAACAGAGCACAGGTAAATACTCAATGGACCCCCTTCACTCCACAGCCCAGCTGGGGTAGAAATTCACTCCCTTTACCACCCCATAGAGGAGAAACCCCTGAAAGAAGGCAGTCCACTATTTGCCAGCTTTGTAAAGTTTAGTCAATAGTATGAAAAATCCTGGCTTCTCATTGTGACCAGCTAAGTGAGGAAGAAGGAGAAGGATGGATGGGAAAGGAAGCAATAACGAGAAAGACCAAGGAGGAAGGAGTGGGAGGGCTGTCAGTGGGGTGGGGTGGGGGGGAATTATTTCAGGTCCTGATTCTGCCATTGAATGGCTGGATGACTTTGGAGTAGTCTCTTCACTCTTAGGCCCTCAGTGTCCTCACCTGAAAGCTGGACAAAAATACCTGCCCAGGCTAAGCCATAGCCCTGTTGAACACACAAGATCCCACAGTGACAGAGCTTGTTAACTGGGAAACCCACATCAGGAGGACATGGGTGGGGAGTTCTACTTAGATTCTCGAGATACTTCGGGACCCCAGGAATTATGGGTTTTCTCTTAGCAATCCCTTTGGAGGTATAATATGATATGATATGATAGTCATATCATAACATTTTATGATGTGCCTATTTGGGGCCAGTTGTTTCTCTTATTTAATTCTCTCTGTGCCTCTCTCAGGTAGGGATTGCTGTTTAAATCTGTGGACAAGGAAGCTGAAGCTTAGAGAGATTAAGAGTGGAAGAACTTAATTGTCCCCCATCCCCATCCCATACCCACATGGAGCTAAATGCCCCCCCCCTGGGTTTCATAACAGGGAGGGATTTAATAAGGAGTCCAGGGCACAAGTCACCCTCCCATATCATGAATATCAGAGTATCATGCAGAATTCTGGTCGTTAAGGCAGGCATTAAATTATTCTTCTCTCCATCTTTCACCTGTCCAAACCCCTCCATTAAAGTCACACCCTTTGGGTCCAGAGATCAATTGGATTGTGGAGCTCCAGCTGGGAACAGCTCCTAAATTAAGAGTGGCCAGCAGTCAATATCAATAACAGGGCTGTTTCGTCTTAGACTCATTCTTAGTGGTTTATAAGCACTTTCACATCCATGATCACTTGGATCTTATAAGAAGTGGTGTTTCTTACTCCAGTTTTACAAGGGAGGAAACTGAGGCACAGAGGTAGGGGTGATTTGCCCGGGATCACACAGATGGTCAGCAGTGTGTTCTGTCTGGTGTCAGCATCAAGGTCTTTTCCTCTGCACTTGGTCCCCGGCTAGGGGCAGGGCTGAGGTGTGGGAGAAAGCAAACAGGTGACTCCTCAGTTCACAGCTCTGCTGAGTCCCAGGATAGGGAACAGGGATGGGGCAGATGGAGGTAGACACAGAGGATCAATCTGGGGACAGACAGGGGCCACACAGAAGGACAGACACAAGAACCTGTGAGCCTTGTCTTCCAGGGGCTGCCCAAACTCCCTGTGCCCCCGCTGCAGCAGACCCTGGCCACCTACCTGCGGTGCATGCAGCACCTGGTGCCCCCGGAGCAATTCAGGAGAAGCCAGGCCATCGTGCAGCAGTTTGGGGCCCCTGGTGGCCTCGGCGAGACCCTGCAGCAGAAGCTCCTAGAACGGCAGGAGAAGACTGCCAACTGGGTAAGAACTGCTGGGGCAGCAGGCAAGGAACCCATGGAGCAAGGGGCAGAAGTGAGATAAGAAGATAGAGGGATAAAAAAAAAAAAAGAAGATAGAGGGATTTGGATAAGGGGCAGGTTGGTGACAAAGATGGGGCGGAGGGAGGGACGGGCATGGGGGAGACACAGAGGGATAGTAGGGGGCAAGGGTGTGAGGCTGAGAGGGGACAGATGGGGATAGAGATGCGGTTATGGGGAGAGACAGGGTACAGAGATGGTGGACAGATGGGGGCAGATGATAGGGCTGGGGGCAGCAGAGGATAGCATGAAGTCAGGGAAGAAGAGAGGGATGAAAAGCAGGAATGAGACACTCATAAGATTGGGCAGGGGACACGGATAAGGCAGCACACGGCCAGGATGAACTGAGATGGAAGACAGGAGACAGCATGGGTGAAGCTGAAGGACAGGCGGGATGGCTCAGGGAGCCACAAGCTCTAGCCCATAACTGGAGCTTAGTGTATGTTTGTGGAATGAATGAATGAATGAAAAAAGTACATGATCTAGTGAAGGGTCCCCATTTCCCTTCCGGGGTGCCAAGGTGGGAGTGATGTGTTCCCCAGGCAGGGTGTGTGTGGCCCCTGGGGGTAACGGCACCCTCCCTGGCAGGTGTCCGAGTACTGGCTGAACGACATGTATCTCAATAATCGCTTGGCCCTGCCTGTCAACTCCAGCCCAGCTGTGATCTTTGCCCGGCAGCACTTCCAAGACACCAATGACCAGCTAAGGTGAGGACACCAGGCTCCTGAGCTCATAGCTTGGGAGTCTGCCTGGAGGAAGGGGCCTGGCCCCATCACGAGGAAGGAGAGGCTGAAGCTCATGCCTTGGCTGAGCTCTCTGAGGCCAAATGACCCTGAGACAGTGGCCATCCAGGCCATGGGGTCAAAGGAAGGGTAGGTGAGGGGCACGTGGGTAACAAACACAAGGTCTTTCTCGGGTTTATCTATTTGGGGTGGAGTGGGGTGAGGTGGGGAGGTCTTGGGCCCCAGGTGCCCCCATGGCAGTCTGGTCTGGCTGAGGTCCTGGGAGGAAACTTGTAGCCTCTGATCCCACCAGTGCTTGAAGCTGGGGCTTGTCACTGGGATGCATGGCCCCAGGCTGTTTCAGAGGGCCTCTGCTCCCTGTAGCTCCCAGCTCTGAGCAGAGGCTCCCAGGGAGTGGAAGTGGTTCCTTCCCGCAAGCCACCACCAGAGTCTCTGCCATCTGCTGCAATTTCAGAGCTCGCTGAGCCGCTGGAACGGCCTCTGTGTGCGCTGACGACGACGACAGAGGGGCCATTTATGCAGGAGTGGAGCAGGGCGGAAGGGTCTCTCAGAGCCAAACCCAGGTCTCTGGCTTCAAGACCAAATCGTGGCACAGCGTGGGGACAGTTCAGAGGGAGGAAATAAAAACATGAGGCAGGGTCCTCCTTGGCCTCTGATTCAGGCTGGAAGACCCTCGCCCCCTCCTTCTTCACCCAGCCCAATCAGCCTGCTGGCTGGAGGGGGAGGGGGCTGGGCAACCTTCCCCCTTCCCCTACAGCTGGGCATTCCCCTGGGCAGAGGAAGTATGTGGACAGATGAATGACTTCTGGATGCTGTTCTCAAAACTGCATTGAAGGGGGTGTTTTCCTCCTGATGCAATTAAGCCAGGCTCATCGTCCTTGGGCAGTTAAGATGACAGGCTCCCGTGGTAAGGTTTTCTGGTACCTTTTTCCCAGCCAACAGCACCTGGCTTTCTATTACATTAGCACTAAGGAGACGAGATTACTGACTTTTCCTGGGAGATTGGATTTCCCAGAACCTTGGGGTTTTGGCCCAGTCCAGTCCCAGCACAGGCGTCCCCCTGGAAGAACACCGCCCCTAATGGTCGTGCCCCCTCCTGCCTGCTCCGTGGCCTCTCCTGGCTTCCCCTCCCTCTTCCTCCTCTCATTCACCTTCCAATTTCCTCTCCTCCCCCAAGTTCTCTCCTCAGGACCATTTTTAGTCCCAGGTTTGTGAAGGAAACCAACAGCCTTGGGGTAGGGATGGGGCAGCAGGAGCCCTATCTGATTATTGCACCCTTAAGGCCAGTCATCTGGTGGGTGGTCCATGAGTGTGGGAGAGACTAGAGGAGGTGGGAAGGAGGGGGAGGGGGAAAGAGAAACAGGAAGAAGGAATGAAAGAAGAAGGGAGGGAGGGAGGAAACCTGGGCCCCAGAGAGGAGAAACTAAGGCCTCATCTCTCTCTGCAGGTTTGCAGCCAACCTCATCTCCGGCGTGCTCAGCTACAAGGCCCTGCTGGACAGGTAGGACTGAGCCCCACCTGGGAAGGGTAGTGCCCTGTTCGTCTGTCTCCCTCGCACACTAGCCAAGGACTTGCGGAGGCAGGGACCTTGTCTTTCTTCAGCTCCATGTTCCCTGCTTCTGTCGCTGAGCAGGTGACCCCCTGCACATCCGAAGCATCAGAATGACCTTTCCCTCAGCTGGCCCAGACATTAACAGTTACTTTTCCCGGGGTAAGCCCAATCCTCCCTTGATCTTTTTCATGTCCATCTCCCTCCGTAAGTCACATTTACATACATGCCATGATTCAGTGTCTCAGGAAGCTAGCGAGCACATCAAAGGGGGAAGGCAACGTTGCTGGAACCAGCTGATGATAAGTTCAGCCTTCTTACTTGATCCTTGAAAAGAGCAATCTCCCCACTCTGAGCCTGTTTCCCCAGCCCCATCAACCTCAGGAAATGGGCGGCCGACTCAGTGGACACAAGGGTGTCCTGAGAGATGGAGAGAGCTGCATAAGCACAGTGGGGCATCACCGATTTTAGGAGGAAAGTCCTTCTGGCACCGGGTGCCCAGGAGCACCAGGGAGAGTGAGAGGGTGTGGGGGACCCAGAGAGAGGGTCTTAGGGTCCCCAGAGACAGGTAATATTAGGGCATCAGTTGCTGGAAAGAAAGAGGGGTCCAAAGCAGTGTCCATTGCACAGATGAGGAAGCTGAGTCTCAGAGAGTTCAAGGGCCTTGTCCATGGTCACACAGCCAGGAGGTGGCAGAGTGAGGAGGGCATGGGGCAGACATCACTCACATTTCAACTTGATCTGACTCAGACTTACCCAGCCTCGGAGTGGAGGCTTAGACCTACAGCCCCTCCAGGGTAGGGCTCTTTCCTCTGGAGAGAAGGGGGCAGGCCCCAGATTCAAAATACAGAGTGGCTCAGGGCTTTGACTCTGGGCTCAGCAGACCTGCATTTGAATTCTGACACCTACAACACATGATGTGTCAACCCTGAGTGAGTAATCACTCCAATTACTATAGACTCCTGTGTGTAAAATGGAAACAATAATGGTGCCGCCTCTTGGGGCTGCAGTCCCTGTCCTATGAGATGATGCCTGCGAGGCTTTCAGCTCTAAGCCAGTCAAGAAGCTGTCTATGCATTTCTGTGCTTCTGTCTGCTCACTCCTCACCGTACATCCCCTTGCTGGGTCTCCAGGCCTTCCAGCTGCTGTCTCCCCATGGTGTCTCTCCTCCTCACCAGGAGCTCTCTGCCATCCCCCAGAACTCAGTCCTGATGACCCTCCGACTGATTTCAGAGAATCTCATCCTTTACCTTGTCCGGCTGAGCAGCAGAGCAAGAGTGGCCTAGGCCCCACCCACAACTTTGTACCTGTCCGTCACTGACAGTCTAGACCCCAGACCCCCATGTGTGTGTGTGCACGCTCACACAGACACACATACCCCTACATGTCCATGTGTAAGTTCCCACATCTAATCACTGTAAGGGTTATAAAGCTAGAACTTTATGCCATTGCTCAAGGGCCTGTTTTGGACCCTTCATTCACTCATTTATTCATTTGCTCACTTTTCCTTTTTAAAGCAATTTTTTTTTAATTGGAAGAAAACTGCTTTACAATATTGTGTAGGTTTCTCCTATACAACAATGCAAGTCAGCCATAATGACACATGTATCACCTCCCCCCCACTCACATCCCACCCCTCTGCGTCGTCATGGAGCACTGGGCTGGGCTCCCTGTGTTATGCAGCAGCTTCTCACCACTTGTCTGTTTTACACATGGTAGTGTGTATATGTCGATGCTACTTTCTCCATTTGTCCCACTCTCTCCTTCCCCCACTGTGTCCATAAGTTCGTTCTCTACATCTGCATCTCCATTCCTTCCCTGCAAATAGGTTCATCAATACCATCTTCCTAGATTCTGTGTATATGTGTTAATATACTATATTTATTTTCTTTTTCTTACTAACTTCACGCTGTATAACAGGCTCTAACTTCATCCATCACACTAGAACTGACTCAAACTCATTCCTTTTTATGCCTGATAATATTCCATTGTTTAAATGTATCACATCTTCTTTATCCATTCATCTGTTGATGGACATCTAGAATTGCTTCCCTGTCTTAGCTACTGTAAATAAGGCTACTGTGAACTTTGGAGTACATGTGTCTTTTTCAATTATAATTTTCTCAGAGTATATGCTGAATAGTGGTATTGCTGGGTCATACGGTGGTTTTTTATCCCTAGTTTTTAAAGAAATCCCCATACTGTTCTCCATAGTGGCTGTATCAATTTACATTCCCACCAGCAGTGCAAGAGGGTTCCCTTTGTTCACATCCCCTCCAGCATTTATTGCTTGCAGATTTTTTTCACTTTTCAAATTGATGCTGGTAAGATGAAGGGAAATAAGGCCCCATCCCTGTCTTCAAAAGGTTCTCAGACTATCTAGCGAAACAGACACATAAACATCACCAAATACAACTGTGTCCATCCTCTCTGAGCCTCTCGCTCCAGTATCTGACCCCCTGACATCCCCATTGGGGTGCCTCCTAGTCATTGCAAACTGAGTCATCCCCAGTGGACCCTTGGGCCCCCTCTCCATGCCCCAGCAGGCCTGTTAGCTTGTCCTGCCATCTCAGTAAATGTGCCACCCAGCCCCAGTGGTGAACCCAGGATCCTGTAAGTCACCCATGGTATCTTTCTCCCTCACCTGCTCATCTAGTCCAAGCTCAGGGATATCATGCTCCCTCCAGAACCCATACTCACATCCCCTTCTTACTCCCATCACCCTCCCCAGGCCCATCACCTTCCCAGCAGCCCACAGCCTCCTTCCCGTGACTGTCTTCCACCCATTCTCCACCCAGAACCAGGGCCGTTATGACAGCAAAGCAGATCAGATCATGCCCCTGAGTGCTCTTGCCTTCCCAGGGCTTTCACTGCCCCAAGAGTGAAATGGAACCGACTTCTGCTGCCAAAGAGGCCACAGGCCTCCCCACTTCTCTGTCCATCTCTTTACTCAGCTTTAACTGGCTTCCTTTCACCTTTGACCAGTGTTCCTCAAACGATCTATGGTGAAGGACCAATAAATTTTTTTATTTAGTAAAATGTTTTTGAGAGTGAAAGTGTTAGTCATTCAATCGTGTCCGACTCTTTGCAACCCCATGGACTGTAACCCACCAGGCTCCTCTGTCCTTGGAATTTTCCAGGCAAGAATACTGGAGCAGGTTGCCATTTCCTACTCCAGGGGATCTTCCTGACCCAGGGATCGAATCCAAGTCTCCGGAATTGCAGGCAGTTTTTTTTCTATCTGAGCCACCAAATGAATTAGCAGAAAAACGGCATATAGATACAAAACACAAGACCCCTGTTTCATTGTCAGATTCAGCACACATAAACGTCCTCTGTCAAGTTGTTACAGGTTTCTGAAAGCTCCCCCTGGAGTCCCACAACCACCCTGTCATCAGCTGGTCATTCCAGTTCAGTCTGACACTCACACTTGGAGCATCAGGACAGTGGGCTGCTCCACCCAGCCCACCTTGGCCTCACTCTGCCCCAGCGCACCTCGTGGCTACCTCCAAACCCCAGGGTTCAGCTCTCAAGTCTGATCCTCAGTGAGACCATCCCTGGTCACCTCTGCCCTGCCAGTCACTGACTCCTCACCCCATCTTACTGCCTGCCTATTGTCTTTGCTCCCTTACATATCCCCGACCTGTGCCCCACTAGAACAGGAAACTCAGGTCTTCTTTGCACCTACCTCCCCAGATCCTCAGATGGTGCCTGGTCCAGGAGAGTGCTCAGTCACATTTGTTGGCTGAAAGGAAGGAAGAAGGGAAGGAGGGAGGGAGGGAAGAAGGGAGGGGAAAAGAGGCAGAAAGACAGAGAGAGAAAAAAAAAAGGAAGAGGAAAGGGAGGTGGAATGTGGAGGGGAGGGTGAAACAGGAGGAGGAAAGACAGAGGGAAAGAAAATGAGAGAGGAGGAAGAAGAGGAAGTGGGGGAGAAAGAGGAAGGAAGGAAGTACCTGAGACCTGCTGAGATCATAGGAAAAAGAGAGCTTTCCCCCTTGAACTCAAAGGAGGCTTCTCGAAGAGGTGATGAAGGAGTAAGCTCTCGAAAGAGTGAAGGGAGTTTTCTAAACAGATGAGTTGCGTGCGGGGCTGAGGGTGAAGGCGTGCCAAGCAGAGCAGCAGTAGCAAAGGCCCAGAGCGGCCAGATCTGTTCCTGCATGTGTCCTGCAGGAGGCTGGAGTGAGGGAGACTAATGGAGGCTAGAGAACATGAGGGTCTCCCTGCGGCGCTCCACTACTTTAGAAAATGGGACTCTAACTCTTGAATGGCCATCATCATGCAGTTCTGGCGGCAGGTTAGAGTAGAACCAATTTTGATTTCCAGCCTCTCTTCCCTCCCTCCCCCTCCAGCCACTCCATCCCCACTGACAGTGCCAAGGGCCAGCTGTCAGGGCAGCCGCTCTGTATGAAGCAATACTACGGGCTCTTCTCCTCCTATCGGCTCCCCGGCCATACCCAGGACACGCTGGTGGCCCAGAAGAGCAGTGTCATGCCCGAGCCGGAGCACGTCATTGTGGCCTGCTGCAACCAGGTAAGTGGCCTCTTGCTACTGCAGCCTCTCGGGCTTGGGGAGGGGTGCACATGTGTTCATCCCTTCCTGCTTCTCCAGGGGTGTTCAGCCCCCTCCCAGAGTCACACGGTGAGCTGGGGTAGGGTGGCCCCGAAATGGGGTCTCTTGATTTCTGTCAGTCCCATTTCTCTCCACTGGTTGGATTTTAAGAACGAGGAGCATCGTCAGTCGAGATGCCTTTGGTCGGTTCCCATTTCAGTCCCGTCCAGCCAAGTCAAGTCCAGTGAACTGCCTGGATGGACTGAGGGTCGTTAATGAGACCCAGCATGTCTTCAGCCCTCCACATGCAGTCACCCAGGTCATGGCCTTCCTGGAGACCACACACAGATGGATAGCTTACAGACTGACTGTCTGGGCATTCATGTCCAGGTGGGCCTGGTATCTATACTTATCCCATCTGATCTTAGGAGGACCTTGCAGAGGAGGCCTTGGATCTCCATTTGACAGATGAGGAGACGAGACTTAGGTTAGGTGGCTTGTCCAGGGGTGAGAAGGACTCCTCGGTCTCAGTGTCACAAGCCCATGCTCTATCCCCTGCAGCTCAGGTCCTCAGACTGAGCTCCAGGGAACACAAAAGAGCCTGTGGGGGCCCAGGGGATGCCAGGCAGTGTATTCTATATACTGAGGCTCCACATAAATATTTCATCTGATGAAACGCTGTTTGTTTTCATTAAAACCCAACTTTGACACCCACCTGGGGGCTCCCCTGGTATTTTTTCTATAGTGTTTTCTTCTTAGGCTCATTTGACATTTTCAGTCTAAATTGGGAGCCCTAAGTTTGCCATCAGAAGGTGGCTGTTCCCAAGTTGGGAGCCCACCTGACAGCTGGCTGGCCACAGGACAAGAAGCTTTCTCCACCTTCATTCAAAAGTCAAACCCAAAATATCCCAGTGCCCCGCTCCCCGACACACACACACATACCATAGTATCCATCCCTCCCAGAAATGCTCTCAAGACTCCCGCGCTGAACCGAACCACCTGTATGCTGCTCAGGGCATGGGGCAAGGCACATGTCAATCAGCAGAGAAGGGATCTTGACCTGGGACTATGAATAGAACCTTTTACAATGCTGAGGCTCTAGCTTCGAAGTTCCTGAGTGCCAGTTCACAGGCCTCACCTACAGAGCACAAGCAAGTACATGTGTATAGGTACACATGTATGCACAGAGCATTTTGTGTGTTGTTCTTCCATTTTAATCTTTCTCTGCATATTATTTGCTGCCATTTTTTCCTCCACTCACCATTGTGTTTTAAATCTATCCCTGTAGCTGTATATAGAGCTAGTTCATTCCTTTTAACTGCTGGATAGACATGCATTGGATAGGTGCTCCACGTTTTACTTAACCATTCCCTTACTGCAGAACATTTGGGCTCTCTCTACCGTTTTTCTATTGCAAACAAGGCTGATATGCACATTCCTTTATATGTCTCCCAGGGCAAGTATATGTTTCTCTAAGCCTTAGCCTAAAGTATGCATTTATAAGAGCAGTTACTGAATCATAGGGCACGCACATTTTCAGTTTTGATTGACACAGCCCTCCAACAGCAAGCAGATGTATCAATTTCCACTGTTTCCCACAAATATAATGGTTTTACATCAAGTAGGAACTACAGAAAAAATCTTTCTTTACTTAAGTTCAATCTGGCCTTCTTTGATCTGGGAGAGCTTGGAGTCCAGCACGGTTGACAGCGTCGGGCTGGTCCCCACACTGTGGCTCTTCTGAACCATCAAGTACCTTGGGAACCAGGGGCCCTAGTGTCCCCCCATCCTGCTCCCATGTGGAGGCTCAGGGAAGGCCTGACGTCTCGGGCGGGCTGCCCTGAGTGACGTCTTTGACCTGTTTCCCCCACAGTTCTTTGTCTTGGATGTTGTGATTAATTTCCGCCGTCTCAGTGAGGGGGATCTGTTCACTCAGTTGAGAAAGATAGTCAGAATGGCTTCCAACGAGGATGAACGCTTGCCTCCAATCGGCCTGCTGACGTCAGACGGGAGGAGCGAGTGGACTGAGGCCAGGACGGTCCTCATGAAAGGTTAGCAGCAGCACCCAGCACGTCTCCATGCTCATCTCATCCTCACGCCCATTGGCCTCCCTCCCTCCAGGGGTGTACCTCATCCACATTTGCCATTGCATGGGAAGCTCAGGCCTCCTTCCAGCCCAGGACCCAATGGCACATCCTGCAGTTGGCCTGTGGTCAGCTGAAGGCACCTTTTGTACCCTTGTAATTCATCTGAAGGCATGCTGACTTTCTGGGTGAGGCTGACTAGCCCTGGAATCTGAGGATGTCTGGGAGTATGGGGTGGGGGGGCAAGATTTTGAGTTGAAGGAAGGCCAGCTGCAGTGAAGCAGTGGTGTTTTATTGGTGGGCAAGGAAGGTGCTCGTTTCTGGGATGAGTTGCTGGGAGAGCTGTCAGGTGGGGGTTTGGGAAGGGCCCACCTCTGGAAGGGTAGCTGGCTGCCTCCTTCACGTGATTTCTTGGTACCAGAATTCTTCGTCTTCAAGCTGACCTCATTCTTCTGGCTGCTGCTCTTAAGAAAGTTTCTAAGCTTTCCCATAAGAAATCCAGCAACGGCCTTACATTTTTCAAATTGTCCTTCTGGAAACTACTTTTCAAACCCAAAACGAGCCCTATTCTCAGGAACTGGGTGGAGAGTCTTGCTTTCTTGCCTACGTTCCAAGATGAAGGGTGGGACTTCTTTGAGTGTCTATCTGCCCCTTGGGCTTTTGTGCCAGCCGGGTGACCATTCAGAGTTCTTGAGTGTGTGCAAGCTGAGGACCTGGGCTAGGCCTGGGGTGTGTAAGGGACAAAGAGGATGGAGCCCTTGGCCCTGAGCAGCCCCCTTGATAGGAATCGGGGATGGATTCAAGTACACAGTAATGCAGTGTCTACCCACGTAAGGCAGTAGAGCCAGTTGGTACCAAATAAATGCTCCAGGACTTTAGAGAGGGGAGGGAGCCCTTCTAATTGGGAGGCTTTTGAAAGGCTTTGAGGGAAGAGGTGGGAATTGAACAAGTCCCTGTGACATGAGTGAGAGGGACAGGAGGGAGGGACAGTGTCCAGGCAGGCAGACCAACTGCAGGCAAAGTCAACCGCCCAGCAGGGCCATACCTGACCTGCCCAGTACCGTGAGGAGAGCAGTCTGCCCGGCAGAGATGGCTGTGCTGGACGTACTGGGAGAATGAGAAGGTGATGGGGCTTGACTGTCCAGCAGCAGGCACATCCTTCTCCCTAGAAAGCTCTTCTTCCAGGGCTGGCTGGCTCCTTGCACTGTTCTAAGCTCAGCTTAGGTGTTCCACCCGAGACTCTCCTGGAGTAACCCCACCTCTCCCCAGCATACTCTGCCTCTTGTCCTGTTTTTCACCTTGGTTGCATTTCTTACTCTTTGAAGTCAATTTTTTGTCTGTTTGATTCATGCTGATTATCTGTCCCTTTCCCCTACCGCCACCCAAGTCTGTAAGACCCAGGAGGACAGGGGCCTTACCTGGCTTAACTGCTGAATCTGCTGTCCCAAACACAGTTAATCCCCAATCATGCTTGTTAAATAAAGGAATGAAGGACTACTAAGGATACTGGGCCCCAGACGTATTTCCCACTTTTGAAACAATTTTCTTTCATTCAATTCTTGGGCACCTTCAAATGCTTGGTCTTAAATTGGAGGCTCTGTGGGTCACAGGTAGGTGCCAGAGGTGATCCTGTTCTTACCAACCTAATGGCCACGTGGGAGAATTAATAACTTATAATTTGAAAGTGAGTTAATTCCCTCAGGAGACTATGGTGTAATCAAATACTACTCTTCTCCCCTCTAGGGACAGAGACAGGCATCAGAAGAATTGCCTCTGCTTCCAGTAGTCTTCCCACTTTATTAGTAGGCCAGGCCCAAGCCATCACCCTGCACGACTGACCAGGATTGCCTTGGGGTCTGAGTGCCTGGGTGCGCTAATCGGAATTAATTTGTTAATGGCACTTGATCTGGCTTTCTGAATGGAAGTGCTGTTTCTAAAGGAAGCATGACAGAAAGGAGGGAGGTGCACTCACGGCTTCGCTCTGGAAATCTAATTAATCCAGTTAGCACTGACTGTGTCATCTGCACAGCGGAATCTGATCCTTCACTGAGCTTGCCTCTCTGGAGCGCCCCTTCCCACAGAAGGAAAAGGGGGAAACCACTTAGGAAATGATTTGAGTGTCAAAGTGAAAGATTAAAGCAGCTTGGGCTAGAGTTGAGAGTGAAGATGGAAAGATGGAAAGACATGGGTGGGGTCTAGAGAAGTTTCAAAGCAGAAGCAACAATAAGGAAAAGAGGAATGAGCAAGAGTCCTAGGCTTTTTTTTTTAAATAAGTTTATTAGAAATTTACTTATTTTATTGGGGTATAGTTTACAATATTATGTTAGTTTCTGCTGTACAACAGAAGTGAGTCAGCTATATGTATGTATACATCTGCTCCCTCTTGAGCCTGCCTCCCACCCTCTCCATCCCACCCCTCTAGGTCATCACAGAGTGCCGAGCTGAGCTTCCTGTCTATACAACAGCTTCCCACTAGCTAGCTATTTTACACATCATAGTGTATATATGTCAGTGCTACTTTCTTAATTCATCCCACCCTCCCCTTAGAAAAATGGTACTGATGAACCTATTTGCAGGGCAAGAATAGAGACACAGATGTAGAGAACAGACTTGTGGACACAGGGGAGTCCTAAGTTTTTTATGTGAGCCACTGAGTAGATGGTGGTACCATTCACTGAGATGAGAACCAGGTGAGGAAAGTGATGCAGCAGGGAGAAGTCCTTTCCCAGTGTATTAGGGCTGAGACGCCTTGAGTCATCTAAGTAGAGACGTCAAGTTAGATCTATGTGTCTGGAGCTCAAGGGAGAGGTCAGTACAGAGATATAAATTTGAGAGCCACCAGCACAGAAGTGATATTTAAAGTCATGGACCTTGATGAGATCATCTAGAAACGGAAGATGGGGCCTTGGAGGTCAAGTAGAAAAAGATGCAAAGGGGATAGAGAAAGAGCAGCCTGTGAAGTCAAGACGAAACCAGGAGATGAGTCACAAAGATCCAAGAGGGAAGGAGAGAGCCGCCAACTACGTTGGATGCTTCTGAGAACTGTCGGGAAAATGGGACAGAGAGGAGACTCTGGGCTTGGCAGCCCTAAGTCAGCCATGACCTTCACCAAAGTCAGGCCAGAGTACTAGACAGGGGAAAGGTGTATGGTGATGGAGGCCATCCAACAGTAGGAAGAAACTGTTAAAGAGACAGTCACTGAGTAGAATCAGTTAAGGGTGGATGGTTCTTTTCAGACCTTTTGGTACTAGAAGGAGCAGAAAAATGGGAGTAGTTGGAAGAGGATGGGGGTCAAGGGAAGTGTTTTTAGTAGAAGAGGCAAGTGCATGGAAGTAATCCAGTAAGTGAAATTGTTAGTGAGGAGAGAGGAGACAAATGGAGAGTTGGAATTCTTGCAAAGGCAAAAGGAGATGGAGCACAGAGAATCAGAGACCTTTGACTGATACAAGGAAACCTGGCCTCAGGTCAGCAGAGCCATGGTGAGGGTGGGATTCTGGAGGCAGAAGAGGATGTATGATAGAGCCTCATGGGAAGTGAGAAAGACAGCCTACTCAGGAAACTTACTAAGATTCATGGACTGTATTGAGCTCATATTTGAGGGCTATTCACTTTAGAAGAAACAATACACTTTAGCATTGTTTTGCAATCCCCCCTCTCCCTCACACACAATGTTGAGGTGCTGAGGTTCAGGTAAGGAGAAAGTGGGTTGCTGAGTTCAGCCAAGGTCAGTGAGCATAACTCAGGGAGAGAAGGCGGGTGTGGAGGGGAATGGTTAGAATGCTGGAATCTGAACTAAGCAGGTGTGTTAGTCTGCTTAGGCTGCCACAACAACCTACTACACCCTTGTGGGGCTTAGACAATAGCCATTTATCTTCTCCCACTTCCAGAGCCTAGAAGTCCAAGGTCAAGGTGTCAACAGAGGGGTTTCTTCTGAGGCCTTTCTCCTTGACCAGGATGGCTGTCTCCTCCCTGTATCTTTACATTGTCTTCCCTCTATGTGCAAGGATGTCTGTGTCCTCGTCTCTTTTTCTTACAAGGACACCAGGCATGTTGGATTAGGGTCCCACCCCAGTGACCTCATTTTTAATTACTTCTATAAAGACCCCCATCTCCAAATACAGTCCCTGGAACAGGGGTTAGACTTCAATTTAGGGACTTTGGGGGGGGACACAGTTTAGCCCATCGCAGGAGGGAAGTGAACGACGGGGGTGGGTGGTGGAGAGTGGAAATGGGCAGTGGGGCTGAAGGGTCCTGGAGATGTCAGTGAGACGTGCTGCAATGGGAGGTAACAGAGTGTGTGAAGCAGGAGTCAGAGTGTGGTCAAGGTGTGGGAAGCTTGAGCTGATGCTCCAGAGGGGGTTGGGTCCTGGTCGTGATATGTCTCCAGAAAGGTGAGAGGTCAAGGGGCTGAGAGAGGAGGGTGCCAGCCGGGTCACGCACAGGGATGTTCTAGTTACCGAAAGGATGACCGGAGTGGTGATGGGGAGGAAGAGCTTGAGCCAGGTCCTGGTGGTTGGGCATTGTGAGGAGGTCAGTGGATAAGCAATGAGGATAACGCGTGGGGGGAGGGTGAAAGCCTAACCAGATGGGTCGGGGGCATCCCCTCCCAGCTCCAAAAAGAAAGCCGGAGGGGAGGGGGAGTCGTTTAGGAGCTGGGAGGGGATGCCCCCGACCCATCTGGTGCTGGGCTGAGTGTGAGGGAAGATGACAGTCCCCTAGGAGGGGGTGCAAGGAAGTGGGCCCTCAGAGGGGGCACCCTTCAGTTGAGGCAAAAGGTGAACAGAACACTTTCAGAGAAGGTTAACAGGGCAAGGGGAGAGCCAGTCAAGCACTGTGAAGAGTCCAGTAAGGAGGAGAGGAGAGCAGGGGAGGACCAGGTCTGCCCAGGGGACCCTGGAGCAGCAGGGGGTGGGAGTGCTGGGGAGGGCGGCTGTCACTGCAAATGATGCTCCCAGAGCACTAACCTC